TGAGGATGAGGGTGGGGTGGTGCAAGTGGGGATGGGGATGAGAATGGGGATGGTGGAAGTGAGGGTGAGGGTGAGGATGGAAGAAGTGAGGGTGAGGATGAGGGTGGGGTGGTGCAAGTGGGGATGGGGATGAGAATGGAGATGGTGGAAGTGAGGGTGGGATCTTAGTGGTGAGTGTGATTTGATAAAGTGGCCAGAATTCCCCAGGGCAGCCGGTGCTGTAGGTGGTATATTAGTTTTACAATAGAAAGCAAGAATGGGGTTGATCCATCTCTCTGTCTCTGTCCCGCTGTCTCTGTCTGTGTCTGTCTCTCTCCCTCTGTACCTCCTTTGGTCTACCTGCCCTCAGCTATGAAGTGAAGGTGCTGGGCTACAATCTGATGCAAGCCATGCGTTTTGCCGTGGAGGAGATCAATAATGACAGCAGTTTGCTGCCTGGGCTGTTGCTGGGGTACGAGATGGTGGATGTGTGTTACATCACCAACAATATCCAGCCTGTCCTCTACTTCCTGGCCAAGGAGAACTTCAATCTGCCCATCCAGCATGACTACAGCAGCTATGAGCCCCGAGTGGTGGCTGTCATTGGCCCTGACACCGCCGAGTCTGTCATCACCGTCAGCAACCTCCTTTCCCTCTTCCTCCTTCCACAGGTGAGTCATTCTTCCTTCTTAGTAGAGCGGGCATTGGACCTGAACTCAGGAAGGCCTGACTTCAAATCCAGCCTCAGACACTTAGTAGCTGTAGCAACCTGGGAAAGTCGATTAACCTTTCTGAGTCTCAGTTGACTTTTCTGTAAAATCAAAGGGTTGAACTAGGTTGAACCATCAGTGCTTTCTTCCTCAGTCACTTCACGTCTCCTAGTCTCTATTTCCTCCTCTGTAAAATGGGAAGGTTGGACTGGACAGCCAAAATGTTTCCTCCTAAGTCCCGTGTTTCCCGGTTGCTTTTACTGCCAATATCAGTGATGATGACAGGAGCTCTTCCCCACCCCTCCCAGATCACCTACAGCGCCATCAGTGATGACCTTCGGGACAGCAGTAGATTCCCGGCTTTATTCCGCACCATTCCCAGTGGCGAACATCAGGTCGAGGCCATGATTCAGCTCATGGCCCACTTCGGCTGGAACTGGGTCATTGTCATTGCAAGCAGTGATGATTATGGCCGGGAGAACAGCCAACTGTTCAATGAGAAGCTGGAGGGGAGGGATATCTGTATTGCCTTCCAGGAGTCGCTTCCTGTCCCCTTGGCCAACCGGACCATACTCCCCCCGGAGAAGAAAAGGATAGAGGTCATAGTGGATAAGATCAAGAAGAGCACAGCCAACGTGGTGGCTGTGATGTCCTTGGACCTGGTCCTCTTAGACTTCTTTGAGGAGGTCATCTGTCAGAACCTCACGGGCACCGTGTGGATCGCCTCAGAGTCCTGGTCCATTGACCCTGTCATCCATAACATCTCCAATATCCAGCTAGCTGGCACCTTTCTGGGCATCACCACCCAGAACATCCCCATCCCTGGCTTCAGTGACTTCAGGGTCAGGCAGACTTATGTCAAGAGGCCCGTGGTGAGCAAGAATAGGTCAGAGCCCACCTGCAACCAGGAATGCGACAGCTGCCTGGACACCACGATATCCTACAGCACCATCCTCACTCTCTCTGGGGAGCGTGTGGTCTACAATGTCTACTCGGCCGTCTATGCCGTGGCCCACGCCCTGCACCACCTGCTTGGCTGCAATGGTACCAGCTGCTCCAAAGGCGTGGTGTATCCTTGGAAGGTGAATCTGGCTTGGGATGGATGGGGACGTAGACTGACCCGCTGTTGGCTGACTTCAGGGTAGCAAGGAGTTTACTTATGGGGTTACCCAGTTGATAGAGCACTGGACTTGGAGAAAGGAAGACATGAGTTCAAATCCTGTCTCAGATACCAGGGTCCCTAGTTCTGTGATTCTGGGCAAGTCGCTTGATCTCTTGTAGCCTCAGTTTCCTCATCTGTAAAACAGGGAAAATAATAGCATTTACTTTACATAGTTGCTATGAGGATCAAATGAGGTAATATAGGTAAAGCGTTCTGCAAACCTCAAAGTATTGTATAAATACTGGGTATTATTTCTGGTAGCAACAGGATGGTGTGTTGGATTCGAAGTCAGGAAAACCTGAATTTGAATCCTGATTCAGACACTTCCTAGGTGTGTGACCCTGAAGAAGTCACTTCACCCTATTTGGCTCAGTTTCCCTATCTGTAAAATGAGCTGGAGAAGGAAATGGCAATGCACTCCAGGAGCTCTGCCAAGAAAACCCCCAATGGGGTCAAGAAGAGTCGTACGCAACTGAAACGACTGAACAATAACACATATCATTTCAAGAGGGAGGGATTGCTAATAATGGAGGGGATCAGGAAAGGACTCACACAGGAAGGGGCCCCTGAGTCTGAACTTTGAAGGAAGTTGGGAATGAGGCAGGCCTGCCAGACATGGAGCTCCACGTGTGCAAAGGCGCGACATCAGGAGATGGGTGGTCACACACAGGGGACCTCTGTCAGGATGGTTGGAGTGGACTGGAGGGTAGGTAAGGAGACTAATACAGATAAGCCCGGGAAGGTAGGCGGGCCACACTGGTGAGGGCCTTCAATGCCAAGCGGGGGAAATTAGATGCAGTCGGAGATTTTTTTAGTAGGGTGGAAGTGACAGGGGATTTGCATTTTTGGAATATTGGTTTGGCAGCAGCGTGGGGGATGGGTTCTGGTAAGAAGAGAAGGAAGGTAGGCAAGCCAACTGGGGATTGTAACATAGTCCAGTGGGTGAAGGGTAAGGAGGGCTGACCTGCATGTGGGGGAAACTGAGGTCAAGAGAAGGGAATTGACTCGTCCAAAGTGCACGTGTCCATTCTATCCTTTGACAAGTCATTCTAGTGCCATCATACAGTCAGGAAATTCTCCTTGGTGTTGGACTTAAAGCCACCTTCCCGTAACCCCCCAGTCTTAGAGGAGCAGGGCTATGAAGTCCCTTCCCTTCTGTCCTTATCAAACATCTGAAGCCCAGGTCCTCTGACTCCCAATCCCATGTTGTTTTCACTGTAATATTCTGCCTCTCTTTTGTTTGTATCGTGTGTGTGTGTGTGTGTTTGTCTCCCCCATGGTAATATGAGCTCTTTGGGTGCAAGGACAGTGTTTTTGCCTTTCATTGTATGCCTGGGATAAGGAAGCACTTAATAAATGCTTTTTGACTGACTGACTGATCCAGACCCTGGGACCTAGGGGACGGGATGGAGAGCTGGGGGTCAGTGAGCCCCATCCTTACCCTTGCCTTTTCCCCGGCCTAGTTGCTCCAGGAAATTCGGAAGGTGAACTTCACCCTATTGGGTCACAGAATATTCTTTAACGAGAATGGGGATCCACCCTTGGGCTTAGAGGTCATTCAGTGGCAGTGGGAAGAGGGCCGCAACCCCTTCGAGAGCATCGCCTTCTACAGATCAGACCGACGGAAGTTGTGGAAGGTGGCCACCAACATCTCCTGGAACACACCCAACAACATGGTCAGCTCTGGGGGGACTGGATATGCGGGGTTGGCAGTTCCCCGGGACCTGGCCTGGAGACAGGTGGGAGAGTTTTGGGAGATAATTTAGTCAAAACCCTTCTTTTTATAAGAGAGAAAACACAGAAAGGTGAAGGAGTTTGCCCAGGTCTCATTGCAAATTCTAAAAGAAGGAATCTATGGGGAATAAATAGGTCCTACCTTCAGAGACAAGGAAGTTGAGAGATAGAGGCACTGGGTAGGAGGGAGAAATGCAGAGGCAGAGGAGGGCAGGCTGAGGTTGGGAAAAAGCTAACGGTCCAGTTTGGCTGGAATGTAGAACTCATGAGGAAATACAGTGTTAGATAAAGGCTAGCAAAGAGATATTGTGCAGGTGCCCAGTAGCTCAAATGGTATTTTAGGCAACAGGGAGCTATAGACAGTTTTTGAGCAGGGTAGTGACATGGTCAGAGGTATATAGTGGAATGATTTATAGACATATGAAGGATGGGTTGGAGAAGGAACAGAGAAATCAGTTAGAAGGCCCTCACACTAGTCCAGCTGATGAAGGCCTCAGCTCAGCTGGTAGTAGTGGCAATGGAGGGGAAGGACAAGGACCTCAGCTGAGAGCAGAGCGGCTTAGCGCCTCTCTCTCTCCTCTCTTCAGGTTCCCTACTCAGTCTGCTCCAGGAATTGTCAGCTGGGTCAGTGGAAGAAACCAGTGGGGCTGCATACCTGCTGCTTTGAGTGTGTCAACTGCTCGGCTGGGACCTACCTCAACCAGTCAGGTAGGACACCTGTGGCTCCCCTAGCCAGCCCGGAGGCACCGGCTAGCCCAGCCCTCAGACCCCTGCTATTCCCTGCCACCCCACCAAAAGAGCCCAGAGGGCAGGCCTCCCCAATCTGGGGAGGGTGCTCTCGGCTGGCCAGTTCCTGTTTTGGTTGGAGGGTGTTTTCACCTGCAGGCAAATTGAGAAAACTCCTAATAGCATGAATGAAAGCACCAGCCTCTCACCCCCTCTGAAGCTGCCTAGAGATAGCTTAGAAAGGCTGGGGAAGCCTGTGGGGGTGGGGCTGGGCTGGCATTTCCCACATTCTCCATCGATGGGAGAGAAAGCTGGAAGGCTAGGTAAGACCTCCTGGTAGCAGTCAGTGTGATTCTAGGAGTGGGGAGTCAATTTCTCCTGGTCTGAGGCCACAGGACCCTGGGATCACCAGGACCATTTCCAGGCCCCATTACTTCTTGGTCTGCCTAGAAAAGTGACTATCCTCCTGCCCCACTTTTCTGGCTTCAGTTTTAACATCTCTGAAATGATGGGTATCATGAAGGGGAGGTCAACCCTGAAGGCAACGGGAATTTTTCTAAACTCCATCTTCAATTGACGCTGGCATCACTCGCATTGAAGACAACAATCACATTCGCCTAACACTTTCTCATTTCCAAGACACTTTCTGCCTAACAACCCTGTGAGGTAGGGGATGCGAGCATTATTGTGCCCATTATACAGAGGAAGAAACTGAGCTTCAGAGATCATGATATAATAAAAAAAAAACATCATTTTTATTATTCAGACCCCTTCCTATCCATGAGCTTATGGGATCCTTACCATAACTGGATGAAATAGGATGTCAACTGGGCAGGAAACATCCTCATTTTACATGGGAAAAAACTGAGACCCAAAGAATAAACAATTATTGAGCATGAAAAATAGCCTCCCCTTTCTACAACCCTGTAAGATTTCCGTGATACTTTCCTCACAACTGCCCTATGAAGTAGGTAGTGCATGTATTATCAGCTCTATTTTGCAGATGAGGAAAGCCCAAAGAGGTCATAAGGACCCAGGGTGAGTAAATGTCAGAGGAATTGAGCCCAGTTCTCATGGTGCCAAGTTCAGTCCTCCTTCCACTTTATACTGTGTTGCCTTTCAAGCAAGGGTTGTGTTTTCAATCATACTTGGTCAAAATAGGCAGTGAGTTCTTCAGGGAATCAGAGAAAGGAGCTCATTGTGGGCTTTAGAAAGTCAAGAAAGTCTTCCCAGGGGAGGCAGAATGGAAGCTTGGCCTTGAAGGATGGGAAGGGAAAAGGAATGGGTGATGGAACAAGCAATGTGAGCAAAGGTAGTGAGGTGTGTGTGTGTGTGTGTGTGTGTGTGTGTGTGTGTGCTCGTGCAGGCCTGGAGGGTAGACACTGGGGAGAGAGGAAGGAGGGTTAGGTGGGCAGGTTGGCTGTAGAGGGCATTAGATATCAGGTAGAAGAGTTTGGACCTGAAGTAATAAGGAGCCATTAGAGGATATTGAGCAGAGGAGTGATATGATGAAGACTGAATTTTATAAGGATGACCACGTCTAGAGGAATTGGAGGGACAGAAGCAGAAGGGTGGGTACCAGGTAAAAGGCTGTGGCCTTGACCCAAGTATGTGAGATGATGAGGGCCCGGATAAGGACCTGACCTCTCAGGCACTGCCCATCCTAATGGGCAGGGGGATTGGCTGTCTTTGAGGACAGGGCAATTTCTTATTCTGCCTCTTACCCTTCAACCTGGCTCATTGCAGATGATTCTGAATGCCAGTCCTGCCCAGAGAATGAGTGGTCCAGGGAAGGGGATAGCCGGTGCTTCAAGAGGCACCTGCGGTTCCTGGAGTGGCAGGAGCCGCCCACCATCATCGTGGTGGTCGCTGCCAGCCTAGGCTTCCTCGGGACGCTGGCTATCCTCATCATCTTCTGGATGCACTTCCAGACCCCCATGGTACGTTCCGCGGGGGGCCGGATGTGCTTCCTCATGCTGACCCCGCTGCTGGTGGCCTATGCCTCGGTGCCTGTGTACATAGGACGGCCCACCGTCCTCAGCTGCCTCTGCCGCCAGACCCTCTTTACCCTGTGCTTTACGGTCTGCATTGCCTGCATCACCGTCCGATCCTTCCAGATCGTCTGCATCTTCAAGATGGCGCGTCGGCTGCCTCGCGCCTATGGCTACTGGGTCAAGTACAATGGGCCCTATGTCTTTGTGGTGCTGATCACTCTGCTTAAGGTGGTCATTGTGACTACCAATATTATGGTCATACCCACCAACCTCACCACTCAATTTGACCCTGACGACACTCAGATATTGATTCTCAACTGCAATGCCAACTACAGCAAGGCCTTGCTGCTTAACACTAGCTTGGACCTCATCCTCTCTGTCTTTGGCTTCAGTTTTTCCTATATGGGCAAGGAGCTGCCAACAAATTACAATGAAGCCAAGTTCATCACTCTCAGCATGACCTTCTACTTCACCTCTTCCGTCTTCCTCTGTACCTTCATGTCCGTCTACCAGGGGGTTCTGGTCAACATCTTTGATGTGTCCGTCACAGTGATCAATTTGCTTGGCATCAGCGTGGGGTATTTTGGCCCCAAGTGTTACATGATTCTTTTCTACCCTGAGCGTAACACATTGGCCTATTTCAACAATGTGATCCAGGGCTACACTATGAGGAAGGATTAGTCTGGGCTGGCTGGGCAAGGGGGAGACAAAGGGAGAGGGGTTAGGAAATCCCTTAACATTTGAATCAGTTGGACGAACTGAAGGACACCAGACTTACTCTGATCAAGGCTTATGTCCCCCAGGAAGTTTTCCTTGATGGACAGTGATGACCTCATTTTTATCTTCCTTTGACTTTTAAACCGACAGGCAGTCCCTGATTTGCCCTATTCAAATTTCATCAGAATTGGTCCTCTTCTGCTGACTCAAAAAACACCGAAGCTCGCTTTTCTCCAGTTAGTCTTGGGGGAATAGTGCAAGTGTAGGCTGATTCTGGTGCTAGTGAGTTCTCGAGCACTGGAGCTCTTCAAGGGGAAACCAGTTGGCCATGGGTGTTGTGGAGAAGATTCCATGTTTATCCATCGCCCATGGTTATCATGGATGTCGTAGAGAAGATTCCTGTTCTCGTAGGGGTTGGCCTAGATGAACTTTGAAGTCCCATGACTCTGGCCCTTTTCGGGCTCCAAAACACAAGTCAGCTTTTTACTTGAGTGATACTCAGCTGCCAACTGGTGGTGACGATGGGCAATGATAAGCTCATATTTAACCAAATTTGTGAGGCCCTTTAAATGATCTAGTCGTAGGTTTTATAGGATTTAGAGCTAAAAGGGACCTTGGAGACCAGCTGACCCAACTTCCACATTTTACAGATGGGGAATCTTTCACTTCTGCTTTTCAGCAAGACTTCCAGTTGTATACTGTAATTATGAGTATGCTGGTAAATGTCTAAACAACTGTCTCTCTGAAAAAAATAAATGTGCACATGACATCCTTTTAAATTTTAATCTGTGTTATTAACATTTTCTCCATCACTTTAAATTTATATAATCAACAAAACAGTAACTCACACCTTGGTTTGTAGCTTGCTGAAGTGTAAATGGCCACATTGAAAATTTAACAATCAGCTCTCTCAAGCCAGTAGGAGCAGATTCCAGCACACCCCTATCTGTAGTCAAAAAAGATCCAATGTGATAATAGGTGTAAAGTACTTTGCAGACCTTAAAAGTGCTCTAAAAACACTAACTCTTCTTGTTGTTGTTGTATTATAAGGGTGGGGATGCCTGTAGAGTGTTCTTCTGTGGTCTTCTCTCCCCAACTTGTAGAGGGTGGAGGTCTTGTCTTCTCTCAGAAGAGTGCCTCGTACAATCCTGATCTTGGATAAGACATGTAATAAATGCTTGTCAAATAGACCTTTGTTTGTCTTGTTGTTCAAGCTCTCCTTGGGTAGAAGAGGGATCAAAACCACCCCATTTGGGTTGGTGTCTTGATTAGGGTTTTGATTGACTCACACTGGATGGGAACAGGGCCTGTATACCTCTGAATCAATCAAAGCCAGTCAGTGAGAAAAATGGGTCATGCCCTAAATAATTTGTGTGAAAGGAGAAACTATCTCAGGATGGGAGGGCGCAAAAGAGGTTCTGAGAGCCCAGATGTGAGGGGTTAGAGCAAATGGAGCAAAGCTGGGACAAAGATGTGGCAGAGAGGAGAGATAGCAAAGAGGTGAGTGCCGTCTCAGAGAAGTATACCCAGGCCAATGGGGGTTCCAAAGAAAGATTAGCTCTTTCTTCAATGTGGTTTCCTACTTCCTGCTTGTATGCAGACACTATAATATTATTTGCTGTTTCATTACCCATACATTTCACGTAAACTGAATTTTACCTCAACCATAAAGAGGTCAGGGGATAAATATAGATACAGATAAAGGGTTTGGCAGAGAACTCAACCTCTAGCCTAAGTAATAGGAATTTTCCTAACTGGGGTCTTAGAGCAGTTGCGACTGAACTCAGACTTTTTTCATCTAAAATAAACTCCCCAAAGGCAACTGGAGGGAATTAAGTGGACCTTAGGAGCCATTATATTGTCCCCTAGGTTTAACATGAGTTAATTATTGTAACCATGTGTTAGGGCTGGAAGGGAATTTCTCTCCCTGTAGTTCATTTAAATGTAGAATTGAAAGACAGGAAGCTGCTTCTCGAGTCTAGCCTGAGTCTTACTTGCTTTTATAGAAATGAGTTTCCTCTTTGGTTTTTCTCAGAGGCTGAGGGCAGTTAACTGACCTAAGGCATATGTGAGTATGTGGTGTGTTGGCTCTTAGGTGACTGGTTTCTGCTCCTGTCTTTCCTGTGGGCCACCTTCATTCTCCTCTCTAAATCTTCCCCTATTGGGAGTCTAACACCAGAGGAAATTCTGAGAACTGTTAACTGGCCTTGTGGCTGTCTTTCTCAACAGCTGTGACACTCAGAGGGTCATAGAAGCCATGTAGGGAGAGGAGGGATGTCCCACTGAGGCAATTCTTAGTTATGTTGGCTACTGGAAGGAAACCATGGTAGTTGGATAATCCAACATCGGATTAATTGGCTACTCCATTGGATAATCCAAAAGACGTCATCTGTCTGGCCTTGCCTGACAGGACAAGGCTCTTTTGGCACCAGATTTTTATCCTCTCTAGCTTGGACGAACATTGATATTCTGTACTTTAAGGATTTGTGATTTCACCACTGTAGGTGCCCCTTCCTCAGATTCCAAGTCCTTCATAAAGTCAAGTCAACAAGCATTTATTAAACACTTACTATATACCAGGCACTCTACTATGGGCTGGGAATAAAAATACCATGGGAAATATAGTTCCTGCCCTCAAGGAGCTTGTACTCTAATGGGCAAAGACCACACAGAAAAAATTGCTATGGTCAAAGGAGTCATCACTCTGCTTAATGAGAATAGCCCTAGGTCCACAAACTCTTTCCACGTGGACAAAAACCCCTAGATCTTGTGATCCGATGACTAGGGTCACCTCCACAGCCCAATGAAGCATCAAGAAAGGACTTTAGTGGAACAATTAAAAATAATAGTAACGGCTCACATTTGTAGAGTTACTTATAGTTTACAAAGCGTTTTTACAAATTTCATTTCATCCTGGTTCCCATGGAGTAAATATCACAGAATCACAGACTTGGAGAGTTGGAAGGGACCTGAGTGGTCCTCTAGTTCAACCCATACCTGAAAAGGAATTCTCATCACAGTATCTCCAATTTGTGGTCCTCCAACCTCTGCTTGGACATCTCTAAGGAGGGGAAGCCTACCACCTCTGGAGGCACCAAATTACTCAAGGCAGCTAGATGGTGCAGTGGACAGAGTGCTGAAACTGGGCAAGTCACTTAACTGCTGCCTGCCTCAGTTTCCTCACCTGTAAAATGGGGATAATAACAGCACCTACCACCCAAGGTTGCTATGAGGATCAAAGGAAATATTTATGAAGTGTTTATTTAGCACAGTGCCTGGAATGGAGTAGGTGCTATGTGAATTCTCAGTCGCCTTCCTTTTCAGACAGCTCTAATCATTAGGACGATGTTCCTGACATCAAGTCTGCTTTGGCCTCTTGGCAACTTGTACCCACTGTTCCTGGTTCAGCCCTCCAAGGCCCGCATGGCAGCCCTTCAAATATTTGAACAGAGCTACCATGTTTCCCATGAGTCTTCTCTCCTTTAGGTTAAATACCCCAAATTCCTTCAGCTGATCCTTATATGACCGTTCTGGCTGCCCTCCTCTGGACATTCTCTAGCTTATCAATGACCTTCTTAAGCAATGACATCTAGAATGGAACACAGTACTTCATACCAAATCTGACAAGGAAGAGCAGAGTAGAAAGGAGCTATCATCTCCCCATTCTTGGCATCAATGCCAAGGGAGCTTGCAGGGCATGAAAATTCTCAGATGTTTTTCAGCACAACTACTGCCTGAGCATGCCTCTGCCATCTTATGTTTCTAAAGTAGGTGGTTGGATTATTCCATCCCCTATACACAGATGAGAAAGTAAAGTTCAAGATGAAGCTATTTACCCAAGGTCACAAGATGGTATTTGGCAAAATTAATTGGTAATAATAATAATAATAATAACAATTGTAAATAATAAATTTTATCCTCTTGCACAATAATCTGCCAAACACGAAACATAAAAGGATGGTAGGATAGCAACTTGGGTCTATGGTCTATCTCCATTTGAACTCCAACAAACAGAAAAGAATGAGGATAATGATGATGATAACAAAATAATCATGAAGTGTCAATAACAATCATGATAAGAAGTCACTAATTTGCTGTCTACAGAGTGCTTTCCAAAGTGGATGCCCTTGCTCCTTGTCCTGGGCACAGGGACTTGAAAGAAGATGTCTTTAAAAGAACAGCTTTCCAAGGCCTTCTTCTCAAGGATTGCCCCCAAGAGCTAACTGATGTGGTTTGGGGGGAAGGGCTGGTTTCCTTTTCCAGCTGCTGCTATTTCTGACCCACAATCACTGTCCCCCATGAACTTCCAAGGAGAATGTTGCTGAAATCTAAAATGGACGTCCATGCCCTTGAGCCATGGCCTTGTAGGAAACATCTAAGTGAAGAAGAGGGATCGGTGCCTTCCACGTGGGGATGATGGGAAGGGCACTTGCTGGATCTGGAGCCAGATCACTCAAGTTTGAATCCCAACTCTTTTCTACTCACTACCTGTGTGACTTTGTGTAAGTCACTCCTCCTCCTCTGGGCCTCAGTGTCCTGATCTATAAAATGTTGGGTGGAGGTTAGCCTAGATAGCCTTCCAGCTTTAAATCTATAATCTTATTATCCCTACGATCCAGCCCATGAGACCTTGGGTAAATCATTTCTCCTCTCTGGGCCTCAGTTTCCTCCTCTGTAAAAACAAGAGGGTGGGACTAGGTATAATCTGTGGTACCTTTCCACCCTAAATCCTATATTGCTGATCAGACCTGCTGAGCCTTCGATGTTCCTATTGCACATTCACCATCATGGATTTCTCCAAGTCCTTATTAAAATGCTTTACATTTATTGACCGTCTTGTAACTAACAAGTCCAGGAGCCTCTATCATGAGTGGAGACGGTCATTCCTCTCCATAAATATGATTGATCCAAAAGCGGTTTATTTCACCTTGAAAGGAATGCAAATCTACTGTCAGGAATCCACTCAGGTGCTCCATGAGCACTGGTCATTACCATGAGAGCCTAGGGACACCACACTCAAGGCCAGTGTCTCAACCACAAGCTCTAGGAGATCTTGTGAAGGTCTTTCCCCCTCTGGGACTCAGTTTCCTCATTTGTCAACCTCAATTCAATCTAAATCAACAAGCATTTATTAAATGCCTACTAAGAGCTGGGCACCATGCTAGGAGCTGCGAATGTAACAATGAAGATGAGGAAGGAATTCCTGACCTTGTTAAGGAGATTACATTCTATTGAGGGGAAATGGCATGCATGTACAACCAAAATATATAGAAGCAAACATAAAGCAAATGGTTTTGGGGAGCACTTGAGTAGGAGGCACTAATGATTAGGAGGAATCTGGAAAGGCCTCCTGGAGCAGGTCATCTATGGAAAACAGCTTAAAAGCCTTAAAGCCTGATAAAAATGTGAGGTGGCATTATTATTATTAGTATTATTAATTATGGTTATTGTTGCTCCTTGGCTCCCACAGCCCTGGCTCACCTCCATTTCTAGTACCTTGAACCCAACCTAAGGCCGGTAGGATGAATCAGAGCTAGGAAAGAGCACAGTGAACTGGGATGCTCAGAAAAGTCTTCCGGGGTGGGGGGGAGAGGAAGAACATAGACTTTTGGAATTGAGAAAGACCCCAGGGCCATGCAGCCTAATCTATACCCAAAAGGAATTCCCTCTATAACATCTTTGACAATCCATTGTCCAGCCTCTGTTTAAAGGCCTCTGAGAACAGGGCCCACCACTTCTCTGGGCTGCCCATTTCACTTTGGGGTAG